TAAACTTTTCATTACAATACAGAACTGATGACCGAATAGTGTAATTTCAAATGATATTATAACGAAATAAGTTAATAAGGCAATCGTCAATTTCCGTAAAGCTCGACTAGTTCGGAAAGTTTAAATTAGAAAATATTTCTGATCTGAATTGGTAGGTCAATATAATACTCGAATTATGTATTACTATATAAGGTGCTAACACATTTAGTGCAAGAATCGACAATTTGCACGACTTTTATGCGATTTTAAAAATTTACTTTCGTGTACAAAAAAAAGCGAAATAATTCTATGCATTTAAAAACAAAAGATGAAATACCGTGACGGTGACATTCTTTTTAATTTTGATGAAGCCCAGTGCTGATCGTTAGGTTGTAAATTTCACTATTTCACATTCAATTTGTTAACCTATGAAATGAATTTTAACAGTGAAGTGGTTAGTGATAGGTTTCAAAAGATAATTTTGAAGATGTTTTATTCACTGAGTAGAATTGTTATTTACGTGGTATGTTTAGTATCAATACAAGAGTTGTTAAACTTAACGAAAAACTAAGACTTATTGCCGTGATCGAACTTTAAAATGAATTATAGTAAGGTAAATTGTAATTAAAGTTGTACCTAATTTGTCAGCACCTTATAAAAGTCACAGTACACGTACGTAAACACCTACAACTATTCTAGTCTGACCTGTAATCGTACGCAATTTAAATAATTAATATAAAATGTGAAATGACTAGACCGAAATTAATGTATTTTGTATATTTATTAAATGTCTCGCATATTTATGGCATTAAATGACGTTGTGCAAAATCAATTATGACTTTGATTTCTTAGACTGTAAAGTCAATGCTGTAAGTCGAACTTTACTCATTTTAGGGAACTCATTGTTTAAAGAATTCGTTAGCTTTTTCAAATGTCATAATTACAAGGTTTTTCGAATTATAATAGAGACTTTATTGGTGCTTAAAACAGAATACAATAAAAGATTCTTGACCTGGTCTGGTTTACACTCTTTAAAAGAGGTGATGAGATTATTCTCTTTTACTCTGATTTTAAAAAGTCCCTAGTATCCGTTTAAATAAAAATACAACTGACACGACCATAGTTCTCTGTATTTCGTTCACCGTACGACACGACGTTGATAAAAAAAAGTGATCGATTTCAAAATGACGATAGCTGCGAAAGTATCTAACAGAGCTATCTAGATTTGAAAGTGTGAATCAGTAGTACTTTTAGTTACATTAACAGATCGCACTTAAATGAAAAGGTTAATTATTTTTCGTGATACAAAGAGCAGCCACACTTACCCCCTAGACATACTGACCTTACTTAGCAGTAAAATTTTTCGTCCTTCAGGACATACTTTTTTTTATAAGTAGGTAAATAATTCCGAAGTTGAGCTCCATCTTACCTGATGGAAAGCGACGATGTAGCTTGCACACTTAAATAGTGCTTGAAAAGGCCCAAGTTATAGCGTTCGGGGAACAAGTCTAACTGGCAGGGAATTCCACTCCTTTTCCGTTCGTCATATAAATGTGATGGCGAAACGCTTCGTACGACTCTGGAATATCCACAACATAAGCGTATAAACCAGTCTAAGTCTAGTCCCATGATGATGGAATGGGGAAGGTGAAATTAAATCATGCAATTCTATCACACACTCTCCGTGATATAATCCTGTAGAAAACCAATAAGCAGGCAACTGTACGGCGGTGTCCATGCCTCTGTGGCTTTGCCTCTACCAAATCCGAGTCACCTATAAACCTTGTGACACGCTTTTCTAGTGAATTCTGTGTGGCCAGTTGGTATTTAGCAGAACCATCCCATAGGTGGCAGCAGTACTCTATACATGACCGGAATAGTGCTTGGTGCAGTTGAAGCAACTGTCTCGATATATGAATGTCTCTATCTACCCACCCGAGAGATAGGGTATTCCGGAGAGACTATGGGGTAGCCGGCAAGACCAGGGTACAGCAGGCGTCTGGGCCAAGTCCTCCGTCAGTAATACGCCCTCACGAGCGACTCTGTTGAACCCAGATTTGGGTATGGACTCGTTGGGGTTTGTGGTGAGCTGCAGAGACGGACATGTTCGTTTGCTTCGGTGGTGTGTGACCGGGGTGTCTGTCTCGTGCGCAGCTAGTGCGTCGTAGTCACGGTCTAGATGTGGGCCTAAGGCGAGGAGACACGCGGGACACGTGAGTTAAATTGAAGTTGGAAGTTATGTCCGTACATTGTCGCAGGACGCCGTTTTATAATGTCGGGAAGTGTGCGTGCCTTACAGCTCCGCCACCAAAGAAGAGATTTGGTGGTGGACTTTAGAGTCAACGGCTTAGAGGTGGCAACCGTTAGTTGTGCAATGCGCAACGGCAAGTGAGCGTGCGTACAGCTCTGGTACCTACTGAAAAATAGGGAGGGTACGGTACGTGCACCCGGGGCTCTGGCCTGAGGCACTAGCCTCTTGAGAATCGGATAGAGTCAGTGACAGCGGTCTGTGGCAACCCTGTACACTGGCTGATCTGGGTTCAGAACTTGAACTTAGAAAGTTCCTGTACACGCACAGGTTATAGGTAGTGCCTTTCTCGTACACCCTAAGGGTCGGTAGGGAGGGTCACTATAATCAAAACTAATGTAGAAAGAGATGGGGCTGTCCCGGTATAAAGTAACGCCTCGCCTCGGAAAGGAAGACTAGTGTGTCTAAGCCCGACTGTCAAATCTTAGATTTTAATATTTTCGTCAATAATTTGGCAAAGCCAAGTCTCCAGTATGAAATATATTCTAACAGTGATCGGTATTGAGGGAGTTAATTTAACTAAACTAAAGAAGAGTGCAGCTTTAGGGAAGCTCCGGAACGTCTTCTCGTCTGCAATACCGCAGTCCTTGAAGACAAGTCTTTGAGCAGAGCTTGTTGCCAGTGATGACCTACGACTTTGAGCCGTGGTGACTTACTATAGGCCGAATATAAAAGCTCAAAGTCACTCAACGAGCTGAAAGCGAGCAATGCTCGGCATTTCTCTACGTGATCGAATCGGAAATGAAGAGATCCGTAGGAGAACGAAAGTCACCGACGTAGCTCAAAGAATTAGCAAGATGAAGTGGCAGTGGGCAGCATAGCTCGTAGAACTGACGGCCAATAGGGCAGAAAGGTGACCACGAACCGGAAGGCGTTCAGTGAGACGGGCCCCTACTAGATGGACGGATGACCTGGTAAGGGCGCCGGGTAATCGATGGATGCACGACGCGTCCGACCGGCTAGTCTGCCAATCTTTGGGGGAGGTCTATGTTCAGGAGTGGACGTCTACTGGCTGATATGACGATGATGAAAGAAGAGTGTGGATTTTCCCTTCTACAAATCCCCGGACTTCTCGGAACTGATTGTATTTGAACATGCGCATTATTTATTAAAATTTCAGTACATTTGAGACGAATTATTATTTCCTATTAAATATTTGCTATAAATTATTGTCTCAAAAATAATAATGAAGCTAGTTGTGTTTCTGTAGGTACGTATTTAAATACATTAGCCATTTAAAAAATAAACATGAGACAACCTATATCCTGGAATGTTTAGAAAATAAACAGTAAAAAGAAGGAAATCTCATACGCATCGATGACGAAATGGATATGTTCTTGCTAGAAAACGTTCATACTTTAGGTAACTTCCTCTTCTGAACACTGATTATGAAGCAAAATTGCCAAATATTGAGTTCACTTTTGTTTGTTGTAGAGTGAGAATATCCTTTTTAAGTTGTAAGGTAAGTCTGTTTATTTTCTTCAAGACCATACATGAGGATGAAATTTTTTGGGCAAACTAAGATGACCTGTAATGCACGCGGGATAGTCTGATATTTTTCCATGAGTTGGTCTATTAGTAGCAGAGCTAAATGTTGAATTGAATGCATGAACTAAAAGAAAATGTGTTTTACGTTTGGTGATCTTCTGTTATGCATTCAGTGCATATTAGAGACGTTATCATGCGCGTACGATGCAAGTGAGCTTTAAACCTCCAGTGTTCAAATCTCAGTGTGTTTACAATTAGAGCGGAAGTATTATAACTATAAAACGGTCTGTCAAAATCACCATGCCGTCTTGGTTGAACTATAGTATACTTTGTACATGTGCTTTCTAGAATGAGAACACCACATTGTCCAAAAAACCATATTTTCATTTCATTTGAAAGGCTGGTTTCAGAGTGACTCGTGTTAACAGCTCGCGTTCACAAATTACATAATAACACGTCATTTCCTAGTGCTGACGGTGTGGTCAGCGCCGACGATGGCGACCGTGCGTGTTATTTGCGCCCGCGTATATACACTCGCGTAGCTCCGATACCAGCCAAATACAGAAGTACATACAAACAGCAAGCAGAAGCAAACCTGTCTGGGTCGACTAAATTTAATGCTTCGTTACCTAACATGCTCTTTCAACTTTAGCAGTGATTAAGCAAAATGCAGTATTGGATACGGGCACATTAAAAAAACAAACATTTCTGTTTTTGCAACTGTGGCAATAGGTGTTGATATATCTAGATAAATAAAATAATTATAATTGAGGAAAAATTATTGAAAATTCGCTCAGCTTGTCGTAAATATGTATTTATTCAATTAAAACATCATTGTAATATTTATTAAATATTCTTATCTTTATCAAATAGACTGCGACAGAAAGTTTGACAACAAGATGTTAATTACACTGACTTACAACTATAATACTTTTAGCAATAAGTACTCGTATTAGTAGACTAACTTACATTTTCGTTAAGTACATTTAAACATTAAATTTGGAGAGAGAGGTTTACAAGCCTGTTCTTTGTGGCTCAACGCGGCATGGCTATCGTTTTATTTCGCAGTACTGGGATACCTAATCGGACAGTATAGAACATTTTACCTAAATTACAAGAGAAATCTTAAAATTTATATGAAGCATAATGTTTTGGACGAAAAAATCTCACACCGGCTCGAATAAGAAATATTAATTTATACAAGTATATATAAAAGGGCTCATAATAGATATTTGGTTTTATATTTATTTGGGGCTGAGAGTGTTTAGTCAACGCAATAGTTTGAAGCTCCGTAGCTGCAAATGCCAGGGCCGTGTCGGTTGCTGCGGGGCAGAGCGTGAGCGAGTGTGCGGCGCGGGGGGGTCGCGTCAGCGGCGACGCCCAAAACGCAAGAACGAGTGCACCACATCCTGCCGCTTCATGCCCGTATCCAGCAGCTGAGGGTAGTCTCGTACCAGAGCTGTTAAACAACATACAATCAACCTCTGTTTTGACCAACGACCTTTATAAACTTTGCATAACTCACCTATTACATTAGTTAAAAAAGAAATATTAGCATACAAGAATTTTACCAAACCTTACATCCGTAAACGTTTTAAAATTGTCTCTAATCATTTGGAATACGCGCTGTAGATGCCCGATATTGTTTTGAGGCTAATATCGTAATGTCTGAATACTAACCTTCTAACTTTCCTGGAAATAAAAAAATAAAATAAATAACTTAAAAAAAATAATATAAAAAACCGTCAATTAAAACAAAATTAATAGCAATAAAAAATTGTATTGTAAACCCAGGCTAACGGTCTACTTGATGATACACTCCAGTGTAAATTGAGTGCAGCTGTAAAAAGTAAATAGGCAAGGCGGATTTCAGAGCGACACCAACGGCACATGCGCTTAGAGCAGTGTATGTGTAGGTATAGGTATGTACGTAGGTACACATCCGATCGAAAATAATAAAACCGTACGTTAAAATAATCGCGTTCAAAAAACGTAGTTTAAAATAGTCACCTAAATTGAAAATGCCAATTTTCAGAAATTCCAATTATTAACATGATATGACATATGACAATGATATGAAATATCAGAAGTTAATTCAAAGATACAATGTTGAAATGTATTAGAATTGTGAATTTAAAAAACGATTTGCCCAAGTGCAAGAACTTTCGAGATTTTTTTTTTTCAAAAATTTGCATATATGTATATAATAAATAGTCGTTGTTGCCAGAGCAGACCTCGTTCAATTCGTTCGACTGAAAATTAATATCAACAAAACAATTATTGCCAAATACTCCTAAAGAAATAAACCACTTGCCCAATTAGAAAGCTAAACAACATATTATTGGATGAAACAATCCAGTCACTCCAGATGTACCTCAGACATAATTTAAGGACTCCTCGGGAAATACAACAACTTTTTATAGTTTAAAAGTCTGTATTACTTTCATTTTGTGCTATTTTTGTATAAACATTGAAACAACTTATTAATATATGAACATATTTTTTGACTTTTCATAAAAATATTATTTTATTATATTATATTTTAGTTTTATATTATCGTAATTAGCGAAAAGTATGAAATTAGTGATTAAACTCCGTAGCATAAACAACCTAAGTCATTGACATTCTTGGTTATTGCATTAAATTATTGAACTTGAAAATTGGCTGAACAGACACAAAATGAATATTACAGCTGACTACATTGACTTACAATTATGTAAGTCAATGGCTGACTACGATGGTTTTACCCAATTGTGATTATTGTATAAAAATAATACACCAAAAAGTCGACAGATGGCATTAAAAGGTCGGTTTCATAAAAAAAGTGACATTCATTGTTTTTCTCGTGGAGTCTTTATTTCGAGAAAGGTTACGGTTGAACAAGGTTTTTAACAATAAAAAACATCTGTCTATAAAACATATATCTATAAAAGCAAAATTTTCTAAAAAAAACCGACATCAAAACTCATTCATCCCTTAGTTTGCCACCCGTAGAGGTGGAATATTTCCTTCAAATTATAAATAAATGGGACCACTAATGAGGTGCCCTCTTTCCAAGGAAAACAGAACCATCAAAATCGATTTACAAATTATAGAGTTATCCCTAACATACGTACAAAAAAACAGTCGAATTGATCCCTGCCTCCTTTTTTTGAAGCCGGTTAAATAAGGGTCAGGAAACGAATCATAAAGGTATACGGTAGCGAGACGTGCATAACGACACAAGGGGACAGAGAATTATTGGAAGCGTTTGAGATGTGGTGTTGGAGATGAATAAATGGAATAGTGGAAAGAAGAAGTAACTGGTAAAGAAAAGCCTATTAAAGACTATAGAGAACCGAAAGGGAAACATGTCTAGGATTCTGGTAAGAAAGAAAAATCGTGGGAAAGAGAGGCAGAGGAACACCGAGATAAAGTTATTTAATCAGATACGGGAAATCAAATTTAGGGCGTTGGACTCTCCAGAGTACCTACAAACTCTCGCCAATTGCGATCAATCTGTGATTGTTGCTATAGTACCTACTATTCATTAGATACTTAATATGTTTAATATTAATTCGTTTAGGTAATTTTAGGCAATCATAACAATTATTATAAATAAAATTGATGTAATTACCTACTTTACTCTCATTCTTGTTTACAAATCCAATCAACATTTTAGTTATAGAAACCATATTCAATTTAGTGTAGCTATATTTTCTCCTCTTTTTCAGATTATGTGTATTTTGAATAATGATATTCAGGTGTTTTTAATGTAAGTCTATAGAATTTCGTCAATTCGGGTTTTGATATTTCGTAATTCGGTCGTAAGATCATTATTTATTTTATTTTATTTAGCATTTTAATTTTGGGATTTTAACCTCATGTTTCACAATTTTCGATGTTGAGATATGTAACCCACGATGATTTATCTTTCCATACTGTTTTGCATGTATTCTCTGTATCACTCTGAAAACAGCCGAATAGAAAAAAATGCAGCTGCAGCTCTTTATAGAGAAAGATACCCTAATGCACGTCACCCAGATTACCGCGTATTCATGAGAGTCCATGCTTGTTACTCAGAAGGAAGAATGCCTGGTAGTGGTCTTAGTGGTATTAGCACTGGAACTGGAAGAATACCTCGTGGTGACAACGTACAGATGGTGCTGGAGGAAATTGAGCAAGATCCTTCCAATAACCGTAAACACTAAACAGGGCAAAACTGCAGTTTTTTTGCTGTCAACTCAGATCTACCTATTATCAGAAAAATTACAGCATTGTGGTGTAAAAAAAAATCTAGGGTAGGAAACATTATCATAGAAATAAGAACAGGGAACTATTCACTTTTAACAGCAGTTTTGCCACTCTTGCTCTAAGAAGTAGAACACATTTAGCCACAAGTATGTGACAGTCCTCCCATGATGTGCGAGGACGTGTAATTGGAACGCTCTCGATCCATCAAGCCGATTTAATAACGACCAAACAAAAATGCGAGTAATGTCATTAGGCACAATACTCACTTTGCTCTTTTTCATCGGCTACTTCGGAGTAGAGTTCAAGGAAGGTGTTGAGCGCCTGGCAGAATCGCGCGGCACGGGGGTCGTCCTGCACTGCGCCAACACAGAGCGGCTCGGGCGCAGCTGCCACGTCCGCAGCGCACCAAGCCACCACGGCGCACAGAACCGCCACACGGTACGCTTTGATGCTGCATAATATGGACAAAACTCATTAGGACTGACGACTGATTGGAACATACAGCCATTTTGCTATACCAAGCAGGGGCTTCAGCCTATTATATTTATATACTAACAGGCTAGCACGACAGGGCGCGACTTGCGCGAGAGCGACACAAAACGCGAGACGTATGCGAGAACCGAGAACATATTTATCTGACGCTTTATGTCGCTCTCGTGCAATCGCGCCCTATCGTGCTAGCTATGTAGATGTAGGTACACACGCCAGCACATCAAGCTACACATTGACGTATCTTGTTCCGTTGCACTGGAGGCGATTTTCGAACAAAAATATGTAGTTTGATGTGCCGTTGTCCGTACATACTACAGTTTAACCTAATACGCACTATAGTGCCTACGATGAAGAATAATCAAATTGTGACGTTATCTCTGTCTCGTTCGAAAACTGTTTTGGACTCAGTACCCTCTGCTTAGCACATACAATACTGCATGTGCACCTATCGCATGTCGTCGCGTCAGTGGTGAAGTGATACAATCGCGAAGTAATTTTTAAGACAAAACAATAAAATTTTCAAAAGTAACAAACGCAGCAGCTATATACCTACAATGCCATTTGCATCTATGTACGTATTTGATATGAATAACGATATATTAGTTTTATTTCGTATTTAACATTATTATTTAAATTTATTTTATCAGATTTACAAAAATTCTACTTTTTCATTAAATGTTACTTTCCGTATAGTTCATGTAGACCTTAGAGGATGGAAAATGTAGACATAGACTGAGAATCTACTTACGATTCTGCCCTAACGTTTTACAAAGTTACGAAAATCATAAAAAATAAAATGTTTACTTTAAAAAAAAAGTTTTTACTTTAAAATATTTTTACTTATTATACTTAAAAGTTACACAAGGTAGGTGCCTAGGGTGTTAACTTGACAGCTATTTAAACAACAAATTAATCAATCATTTTGCACTGATCAATGTTTATAAAGTCATTTTAAATCCGGAAAAATAGTTTCATTTCCTATTGTTTAAAGTTTTATTTAAAGTTAAATAGTGTTATAAGTAAGGCTGCTAATGTAATAGTATTATGTAATAAAATTAGTACACTGCCACTCAAATAACAAACCCCCTTACAGGGTATTATAACACATGTACATACTATGAACTCAAAAATATTGTTAATACCTGTTATTATGTGACTATATTATAAACTATTTCAATTGAATTGAACTACGACGAGAAAACACGTGTTCCAGACAAATTCGGAAAAAACGTAAATGTAAATTATGCTCAACTTTCATATTTTTATATAATAAACCAATTATAAACCTGAAATGAAAATTGCATCTATTACTTAGCTATAAGTAACTTACATAAATAAACAACTAATTATTTTATCAGCAAAGCAGACAAAATCTCAAACCAAATTCTTTGTACCGAATTTGGCCCCTTTTATTTTGTGATAATCTGTGATGTTCGGGTTCAAGAATCATTTTGTTATTCGAGACGGCTGCAAAGGAAATCAGCGTCGGTCCTCTGCAATTTTTCTCTTCACGTCCTTTGTGGTAGTGATAGTAAAGCGACGCGAAGAGAAAGTTTTCTTTGCGCCTCGCGTTACTGTTCTGTACATTTCTGAACTAACAAGGTTCGCAAATAGCATTTTATATTTTCTCTTGTCGTATGTTTTTGTTGTCCATAATACGTTTCTTTTCTAAAGATGGTAATTTGTTTATGGAACAGACTTCGCGTAGACTTTGACAAGGAAGAAAAAACTATGTAGTGTTCTGATAAGCTTTTTTCTTCTTTTAATATACTTTGTTAAACTGTGACTAAGTATGCAGAGATCAGTGTTTAATAATCCACTTATACGTTCCGACTAGGGATGCCGCAGACTTCTACATCCGATCCGCAACTGCGGATCGTCTGCATATTCTTAAACATCTACATCCGCATCCGCATCCGAGATCCGCATAAATCAATACTGAGTTTTTGCGGATGCGGTTTTTTTGCAGGTCACGACAAGATAGTCGGAAAGGGGCCTTAGCCAATCAGGGATGCAGGCAACGACCTGTTTGTTTTATAAACAAATAAATAATTATTGACTTAACTTACGTTACGCGCATGGCAGCTGGGAACAATTTTCAATTGTATTTTAATTGATTTTCGTCACAGCTTGTTAATTTTTGTAAGTTTAAGTATAAACGATGCTACCGATATAAGTGTCAATAAATGCAAATATTCCATCCAAGTCTTTTCTAATTGAAATATGTAAAACTTTTAATATTTGTTATAAATAGTAATACAAAGATAGAACACTTAGGAAAAATTCCTTCGATACAGCCAAATTCGAACAGGCAAATTATATCTTTTTTTAAATTAATAATAATGTAATAATTACCAGGCTTTATCGGCGAATGTGAATCAAGTTCTTTTTTCATAAAAAAAAAACCTATTTTTTTTCACACATCCGCATATATATCCGCATCTGCAGATTTGAAGGTGGAAACATTTGCATCCTTGTCCGCATTTGCAAGTGTCGTCATAACCCACATCGGCAGCATTCCTAGTTCCAATTCCAACGTAACAGGGAGCCTACTCTCGAAGCACGAAATTCGTAGTTACGGCCGTTTCCCCACTATGGAGATGACCTACGGAACTACTCTCGAAGTCTGTCAACGAAAAGGCGGGGCCGTTCGAAACTGTCAAACCGCGTTGTCATCATAGATATTGTTGTCATACATTCTTAGTTCTAGCACTATCGAAACTCAAGTCTGTAGGTCATGCACAGGGGGAAATCGGTCGTAACTACTGATTCCCTGCTTCGAGAATAAGGCCCCTGGACTGTACTCTAGATACTTTTGTGAATCGACTCCTACAATAAAAGGAACCTAAACAACGACGCGATGTATTGGGGAGGTCACATAACGCAGATAAAAACCAATAAGTTTCATGTTACACACAATGTGCGAAGCATTCCAATATTCAGGGCTCACACGATTGTAAATGTTTCCCAAATACCGAGAATTGCCTTTTATTGTGATCGAATACTTGTAAGATTCAATAATAATAATGTTAAGCGGTTAACATATCGCTCAGCATTATTATTATTCTAGAACTGCGGTAGAAATAGTAAGGGAACCTTACCTTCAAATTATAATTATGTTGACTGTGTGCGTTATAATACCGGGTTATAACTTGAAAGTTAAAGTTAGGGGTCGGGGTATATGGTTATTTTAACGCTACCTGTTATTTCACTTTTGAAACCAATAGCCATGATGTCAATAACATTAAAATGGCATAGGTCTTATCATTTTAAACTGCTTCTTTGGCCGAATGGTTACCATACTGGTCTGCCACGTTTAGATCCCGAGATCGAATCCCGGGCCGTAAGAAACATTTGTATGGCCTACATTTAATTCTGTCGTGAGTTCGTGAGAATGTAGAATTACTTTTGTTAGACTCTTTTTGATACGCAAAGAAATTCGACACCCTTTTCGGATCACTTTTACCATCAGCCAGTACCATTGATGGTACAACTGATATGATTTGGCCCACTAGTATGTACCATGATACAAAATAAATGTCCCGGTGTGAACGTTTATATCGGTTTTTGACACTATTATCATACCACAAAAAAAGATCCGTTTAGGTATGTATATTTATTAACCCCGACGCAAAAATAGAGGAGTTAAAAGTTTGAAGCGTTTGCCTGTGTACCTGTCTGCTGCTCAAAAACTAAAGATCATCATCTCTTTTTAACCGACTTCAAAAAAAAGGAGGAGCTTCTCAATTCGACTCTATTTTTTTTTGTATGGATGTTACGCAATAACTCGGCATTTATGAACCGATTTTGATGATTCTTTTTTGTTAGAAAGAGGATACCTCAATATTGGTCCCATTTAAATTTGAAGAAAATATTCCACCTCTAGGGGCGGCAAACTAACTAACACTTCCCGGTACCCGATTTCAATAAAACTATCAAATAGATGGTGAGGTAGGTTTTTTTAGATTACGGATTGGGTTTTTTTTTAATTTTAGTAAAACATTCACCGAAAATATATGTGTACGTATTTGCTATTTAATGTTACTAGTATACTGGGTAACTTTTCGCAACTAACTAGGAAAATATTTAATTATTTTATTTCAAACAAATCACACTAATTTCACCTAGTCTCATACACGAGAATCTTCGTACTTTTAATAAATTTATATATAATAAATCGGAGTAATACATTGAACAAAAAGTAAACCAAAACCTTTTAAACCTTATATGCCAAATTACTTCTGCTGCGAATAGAAACCTCCTACGTGATATCCAAAGCAACTAACTGCTGATCCAATAGGGCCTTAACATCATTTTGCGTTTGATGCTTAACTGCGTCGTACTTAAAAATCGTATAGAAGGTAATCTGCCTAAATATACTAGTACAGCGCTTTCCATAACGGCCTAACTGATAAGGATAAGGCTTTATTGGATAACGCCTACAATAGAGACGAAAGCCGTCCGCAAACAAGTGGCGATCCTCTCAATCCCCGGGTAATCTGTTTGTACGCTACTATAAGTCGAGACTCAAACTTTTCCTCGCCCAAGCAGCTTTATGTTATTACTTAATTCTAGCTAATTTCTTCATTTCTTCCAACGACAACAAAGTCAGAATAAATTGTAGTAGGGGAGAGTTGGTTATTACCGCACGGCTGATAATTTCGCGCTTCTGTGTATCTCAATAACTACACGCTATTTAGAGTTTACAGTGCCCCAGTATCATAACCTGACACATATTACTTCCCGCATGAACGCTATCACTTCATTCTGAGCGATCATTCGAAGATTACGCGTACTAAAAGTGTTTACACTTATTCAATATAATTTTACGGGTGTATTCGGTAAGAGGTAAGCCACATAACATTTTTATTTTAAGTAATAGTGTTAACATATTTGAGAGGTTATATCTACAAAATTCTTACGGAAATATAGTTTGCTTTTTTATACTATTTTGTGGTT